TAGCCAAGTTTAATTACTTTCTCTTATTAAAAATAGGTAGAACAATCTTTTGTGTAAAAAGAAAATAAAAAAGAAATGGTAGACTATGTTATTCTTGGTAGTGCACAAGGTTTTATACTCCGTTTGTTTTGAGAGTTATGGTCTGGTTCTGGATCATGATTCTTAGTTCGTTACATTGTTTTTCTTTCACAAAAAATTTAAATTTTAAAAATTAGAATCATGAACCATAGTTCTTATATATAATGGATTAATTAAATTTTAATTTTATTATTTGTGATGGACTTAAAAAATATATATTCTATTTATTTCTGAACGCAGATATGATTAAAATGTCTCTTTAGTGTTAGAAATGATAGTTTGTGGATGATGAATTGATAGTTTGTGGATGACGAATTATAGTTTGTGGATGATGAATTGATGATATCAAAAAACTTCCATTTGTATAGTGGATTAAGTAGAAGCGATTAAGGAAAAAGCAGCATAATCCATTGTAGGTAGTACTGCTTGCATCAAAACAAGATAAGTATTCCCCCCAAAAAAAAAAAAAAAAAAAAAAAAAAAAACAAAACCCCCCAAAAAAAAAAAAAAAAAAAAAAAAAAAAACCATAATACAACAAATTGTTGCATTATCAGAATCTAGAGGGTTGGAAGGCTCTGCCTTTCTGACCTAATCAATATTAAGTTTATTTGGCTTTAAGATAATTTCTTGGAAGATTAATATAAACAGATTTAAAGAAATCTCCCTCATAAAAAAAAAAGAAAGCTTTTGTTTTGTTTTTTTTTTTCCCCCTAATTCCAACATACAGTATTTCTGCCTTTTCTTTTTGTTAAGTTTTTTTTTTTTTTTTTGATGGAGGCCTTTTTTTTGGGACTATTTCTGGTAGGCCGTTTTATTGATAGGATTAGTTTTCTCACCGTTAGATCTAATTAAAATTAAATAAGATTAAAAAATTATACATAATAGACAGTTTTTGATATAGATCTGACGGCTGAAAACAGTTGAAAAAAATTATACTACTGATAGTTTTATTTTTCTGATCTTATAGGAGAAACTCTCGTTTTGTTTTTATTTGTCTGTTTGTTTTTTTTTTTTTTCTCTCGAGTGAGTAGGTGGATGGATGATTCTACTCTTCTATTTCGGTTTTACAAGAGTGTTTCTTTGGTTTTTGCTTTAATTTTAGCTTTGTACTTTCGACCTTGCGGCAGATATGTGATATGTATTCTTAACTGTTTTTTTTTTGTTTGTTATTTTTCTTTTTTTGATAATATCCCAGTGGGGGTCTAGAGTTGGATGAACTAAAAATTTAGTGTCAATTACTTAACCGACCTTCTTTGGTACGCTAATATACTGATAGTTCAAATTTTTTATCCATTGAATTTTTACAAAATCACGTAAAGATTAAAAAATACGCAGATCTAATAATTAAAAAAACCTGACCTACTGTACGTTAGGCGTACTAGAAAATCTCTCATTATCTCATAGGATTTTTTTATATCTCATAATAATTATCTTCTCTTGTCATTAATTTAAAAAAAAAAAACACAAATCTACTTTAAGTTCAGAATATAAAAATTATTAATTAGAGAAAGAACATACACCTGTCTCACTTGTTCTAGCTTCTTTCAATTTATTTTCTCTACAACATTAATACAACTATTTAATACTGTTTTTGTTGCACGGTTTATTCAACCAATTAGGTGTCCTCAGGTATTATCTCCATGTGTGCATTGTTTTTGTTTTTAATTTGTTTTAGGAATAAAGGATTCACGCGCTTATGGACTCAGCAAGATTATTTCTTAAGCTTTTGCCTAATTTGGAGTGGTTTCCATAAATTAATCTGCTATTAATTGAGAATTCTACCATAAATTGAGAAATACAAGTGGCCGGGGTCCTTTTATGTTGTTGGGACACTTTTTTCTAGCATCGTGCAGGGAAATAGATAATTTGTTAAATGTTACGTTAAAACTTACAAACTCAAATAATAAAATTGTAAACTTGAACGATAATATGTGAAATTTTAAATTTTACGATGAATCGTTCGACTTTGTAAGTATTAACGTAAATTATCATAAAGTTTAAATTTCACGAATTATTGTAACTTTTACGACTTTATCGTTCGAGTTTATAAATTTTAACGTAAAATTTCACAAATTATTATATCTCTCAACACGGTGCAGATAATATTTTTCCGGACAACATAAAAGAATCTATACAATTGATAACACATGTACATTGTTTCGAATGATTAGTTGTTAAATAGACTTTGCTAATATCTAATGATAGTATATATCCTTTTTTTAATCTATCGCTTTCTAGTATGAACTCATCGTACTTCAATATATATATCCAAGTTGTATCATTATTCTTGTTGAGAAAAAACACACCAGAAAAATAAATTGAAATAAAAATAACAAAAAAAATAAAGAAGACAAAAATTTTAGTGGTTCGAAAAAATTTCTTATCCACAGAAAAAGGGGAAAAACTTCATTAACAGTTTTAGAATTATACACTTGCTAAACTTTCTCTCTCTACCCAAAACCCCTTACACCCTTACTTCCCTCTCTCTCTCTCAAAAGGAGGCACTCTGTCTCTGCACTTTTTCTCTGTACACACATAAAACCTTACACAAAGTACTTATTTATAGACCCCTAATAACCCTTGCCCAAAATAAAAAACAGTAACTTGCCCAAAAAAATACAAAATTATTACTTTCTCAAAACTAATTTGAGTCACTTACCAAAAATCTCTATCTTGACCCAAATTCTCTCAACTCACACATTTGGATATTCAATCTCAACAACCGTCATTGCATCGACAACGCAAACTTCAACAAGAATAAACACGTATCAAGTTCAGACTCTCATCAAACTTGACATGAGAATCTGTCTTCTTCTTCTTCTTCAAAGTATCTTCACTGCTACAAGTCTTTACCATCTTGTCTTTATCATCTTCAACTGTTATCATCTTGTTGCACTCTTTTACTCCTGTAACTTCTTTCACAACAGAATAAGATTCTCCACCTTCATAGCTCTACCTACAACCGTCTCAATCAGCTTATACAACTCCAACAAACATCTTCACCTTCATAGTACCTATTCCAACAGTTTTAGCACTAGAATCATTGGCCATCAACAAAATACCGGCATCACATGACTTATAAGAATCAAACCACTCCTTATATAGGCACATATGAAATGAGTATCCAGAATCCAAGATCCAAGAGTCAGATATATTTTCATCAGCAATAACATAATACACATTATCTCCTCTCTCATACTTGTCACCAACAACATTTACAGAATCTGAAGTCTCTTGAGTTTCTTACTTTCTCTTTTCCTTAAGGTGCTTTGTCAGCTCTTCACAATTTCTTCTAATATACCCCTTCTTATGACAGTTATAACACTCAATATTCTTCTTTGGATGGGATTGGAAATGATCATCTCTCTTATCATAAAATCTCCCTTGTGATTTGCTCCTACCCCCATTTGAATCTGACTGTGGCACTAAAACTTATTCAGTATGAGTTGTAACACTAGGCTTTTTCACATTTGTAATCTTTAATAGAGCAGTCGACACCTCAGCTACAATCAACGTTGTCTTTCCAACTAACAGTGTAGTTACTAAAGTCTCATATGATTTGGGTAGGGAGGCCAACAAAATTACTGTTTTATCTTCCTCATCAATTTTGACCTCTACACTTGATAATTGAGTTATGCACTTATTAAAATTATTTATATGATCCCTAACATCACTTTCCTCATCCATCTTCAACTCATAAAATTACTTCTTCAAATATAATCTATTTGGTAGGGATTTCGACATATAAATTTTTTCTAATTTTTTTCATAACTCAGAAGGATATATCTCATTCATAACACTATATTTCGGTTCAGGAAGCAAACTTAAACGAATAGTGCATACCACTTTCGCTTCCAATTCTTCTCAATCTTCATCTTTCATATTTTCTGGCTTCTTTCCTTACAACTCTTTCAGTAATCCCTGATGATTCAGAACATCTTTGACCGTACTCTGCTAGATGTTGAAATTACTCTTTCCATCAAACCGCTTAATCTGCTCAAATTTTATCCCAGACATCATCTTGACCTCTTTTTTTTTTCTTTTAATCTTCACCACAACTCTAATACTAGTTCTTAAGAAAAAAAACACTCCCCTACACCCACATAACAGAAAAATAAACTGAAATAAAAATAACAGAAAAATAGAGAAGACAAAGATTTAGGTGGTTCAGAAAAATTTCCTCCGTTTATGGAAGAGGGGGAAAAACTTCACTAACAATTTCAAAATTACACACTCAACAAACTTTCTCACTTTTTCTCTCTACTCAAAACGCTTTACACCCTTGTCTATCTCTCTCTCTCAAAAGGAGGCACTTTGTCTCAACACTTATTCTCTGAGCACACATAAAGCCATACACAATACACTTATTTATAGACTAAGTCATACACAAAGCACTTATTTATAGACTCCTAATAACTCTTGCCCAAAAACAGAAAATAATAACTTACCCAAAAAACACAAATACTTTTTCAAAACTAATTTGAGTTACTTAATTAGCCATTCTAGATATAAAAATATACATGTAATAAATATAGGAATTGTCTCCAATCCGGTATTGGATTAGAGCGACACATGTATATTTTCTTTAAAAACATGTATATTTCTTTTAAAAACATGTATATTTCTTTTAAAAATATGTATATTTCATCTTAAAAATATGTATATTTCATCTTAAAACATGTATAATGTAGAGAGACACCTATAATTTGTCTAAACACTTATATATATATTTTAAGAGGAAATATACATATTTTTAAAAGAAATATACATGCGCCGCTTCAAAGATTAGAAATTTTACCAATAAATATATAAACTTGTTACATGTAAGATTGTAGACATATAAATATATATGCAGAAACACGCACACAAAAATATATATGTGTGTGCTGAAGCAACACTCATCACACAGCTAGGATCCAAAATGGATTTTTATCCTAATTACAGTATCATAGACCATAACCTGGAAACTTTTCCGGATTTATCAGATGTTTTGTCCCCAAGATGTTACTCATGGGATGATCATAGGTTTCCCTATAACCAAGACTATTCACTTTCGTTTGACAGCTCCCCAATAGATGCTCCTGATCATGATGATCAAGATCCTCTTACAGATGATCACGAAGAGAAAAAATTACCACATCATCAGACGGTAATTTCCTCCCCAGCTGCAGATCATCACCATCAAGATCTACAAGAGACCAATGTAGCACATGAGGAGATCAGTAGTACTCGTACTAATATTACGACGGCAGACTCCAATAGAAAAGGCGCAAAGGGCGGAAGAGAGAAATCAATGTTCATAGGGATTCGGCGGCGGCCGTGGGGGAAGTACGCGGCGGAGATTAGGGATTCGACGCGGGGCGGCCACCGGGTTTGGCTGGGGACGTTCGACAGCGCAGAGGCGGCGGCGCTCGCCTACGACCAAGCGGCATTCTCCACGAGAGGCTCCGCAGCGGTGCTCAACTTTCCGGTGGAGAGGGTCCGACAGTCGCTCCAAGAGATGAAGTTGTTGAATGATTGCGAGTTTGGGCGTTCGCCGGCGGAGAAATTGAAGCAGAAACATTCTATGCGAAGAAAGAGATCGAAGAAAAATATCAATCATGATCATCATCAAGAAAAGAAAGGGAAAGACCACTTAGAAAATACCGCCCATGTTAAGAAGCTGGTTTTGGAGGATCTTGGAGCTGAGTATCTGGATCGGCTCTTAGATGCCTCCTGCTCAAGTACTGACCAGACTTCTCCTGATTCAGAATTAATATATAATCAACCAATTTATACAATCTTTGATTAATGTCTTTGATATTTTTTCGATCCTTTTATATTTTGTTTTATTAAATATATATATATATATATTTCCTGTGCCATTTATCATCTTCTTCTGAATTGGAGATTCAATTTTTCTTGTACTCTAACTGTATCATGTTCATCTTCTCTTTTTGTTGTGTGGGGGAGACATATTAATTAATTACCCTACAGCGCCGAAAAATGATCAGTTTTTTTTTTTTTAATTTATTTATAATTTCTTTCTTGATTTCAGTTAATACTTGATCGATATTAGCTTGCTGATCCTGGTTTTAATTCATATTCAAGCACCACTTAAAACGGTTAATTAAGCACTGGGCTTTAATCAAGGCCTACTTGCAAATTTGTTGAGGACGTTTGGTTGGAGGATTCAAACCATGTGATTCGAATCATTTTTTATTTACGTGAATTTTTTGTGAGAAAAAATACTGTAGCGAATCACGAATCATGATTCGAATCAGGGAATGAATCCCTCTAGCACGTTTGGTTGGAGGATTCAAACCATGTGATTCGAATTATTTTCGATTTACGTGAATTTTTTGTGAGAGAAAATACTGTAACGAACCACGAATCATGATTCGAATCAGGGAACGAATCCCTCTACCAAACATATTTGATTCGGCCTAGCTAGCTAGAATCCAAAGGAAATTACATTAGTTCTAGACTTTCTTTATGACGAAAAAGGACATGAAAGATCCTTTTCTTTTCCTTTTTACCACTGAAAGTTTTTTTTTTCTCTTCAAAAAAAAAAAAAAAAAAACAAAACTGAGTTTTTCTCAAAAACCCTAAAACTTATTTGGTAGGGGGAAATTAAGTTGAAGGGGTAGGGGTGGGAGTAATTTAGTGAAGGAATTTTAAGATTTATGTTTAGGTTTTAGGAAGGATTAGAAGAGAGAAACAAATTGAGTTTGGGGTTGGCCTATACGCCTTAAGCATTAAAGAAGTGTTTGAATTTGTTTGTTGGGTGTGCTCACAGTTTCATAAAAAACTACTCGAAATAACAGCCTAAAAGAATGGCCTTTTTTTTTTTTTTTTTTTTAGTGAATAAAATGATAATGTTTGGAGTGGATTCTCTTTTTATTAGTTGCAACTTTTAAAAAAAATGGTTGCATAAACTCTAACAGTATTTTTCTATCCTTCTTACCATGTACAATTTAACTTTCTTTCCGAGATAGATTCATAGAATAGTATTACATCTCATTTCCAATTTTAATGAAAAAGAAATTGGTGTGAAAACTAAATACATTAACAACATTAATGTTCAATATTGATACTAATGCACCATATATGTGATATATTCCAAAGAACTTTTTATTGCGAGTGTTTGGGACTTTTTCGAAACTACGAACTCATGAAGTGGACTATAATTAACTTATATAGTGGCAATTACTATCTAATTTGGTGATATGTCAAAAGTTCATAATTCAGAAAACAGAAAGAAGACAGATAAACTATATTATTACAGATGATGACATCTACAATTTAAATGCTTAATATCTTTTCAAACTAATAGCATTAGATATATTGTAGTAGATTTTCCACCGCCAGCATTGTACCCTCAAATCTTTGGTAATACAATTTACTCTGAGATCATAACAACTGAACCAGAAAGTCAAAACGCAAATCCTTTGTAGATTTTAATAAATAAAAACGGTTTACGCCTTATAATTGGATTGTATTTTTTTGGAACATGGCACATCACCAGACAGGAATGGGACATGTAATGTCATAACAAATTAAGAATTCGATCACCTTGTTGCAGCAAGCTCTAAATAGATGGATAACAAAATAAACACACTCAATAGTGATGAAGCCAGAAATTTTTGTGAGAAGGGGCTAATAATTGTAATAAGAATTAAAAAGGTATAAAATTGTAGTTTTAATTTTTCAGAAGGGCCTTTGTTCAAATTTTTTTTAAAGATATTCTTATATAAATATAGAGAAAAAAAGAAGAAGAAAAGAAATTTGAGGGGGGTTTGAGATCCCTAGTCATAATATAGCTACATTCCTAACTGTATTTGTGAACTTAATTTTTAACTAACAGTTGATAAAGTCACGATGTGCTTCTAACTTGTTAATGCCATTAAAAATCAACTGATTTATAATCCACTAATTAAAACTTTTATAATTAAAGGAAGAGTTGTATTTCACAAATTAACGTTGTTAAATTAATTTAATTGCTATATCATGGATTCATGTTAGTCAAATCTAGTTAACTACTTTTGGAGTTGAGAGTGGGGCGATTCGAACTCTAAAGTCTACACTTTATGGTAGAATAGAGTGGAAAAAAGAACTAATTAATGTTATTACCTATAACCCCGGCCCTTGCAATATTTTTTGAACGAAAAATTTCATTAATAAATTAATAAATTACACAAATAGTCACAGATAACCACACAATTTATAAGGAAATTTCACCTCATGAATCTATTAGTGAAGATAGATGAAGTTTAAGGATGAACATAAATATCGAGACTCAATAAAGAAAGATTTGTTTGGTACAAAAGTAAAAATAATTATTGCATATTGACATTGCATACCATGGTTCCACTTCCATCAAAGGGAAAAATAATTATTGTGTCTTCAGAAATCTAGTGACGATGACATTTTTTTTTGTTACACAAATAGTCACAGATAACCACAATTTAATGGTCATTTTCCAGACGTATTCGGAGAAGGAAAAATATGATGATCTCCAAGAAAACCCAAAAGCCTGATAACACAAAACCGAAAAGTACAAAAAGGGGGAAAAAAAAAAAACAACAACTACAACATAATTAAGAAAAGGATTGAGAAGATAATCACAAATTGATATCCATGTAGTTGGCTGAACATAGATTTTAATTCATTAAGGACTAGCTTGACCTTAATATTAATGAAAAGAACAAGAATAAAATTAGCAAGACCCTAAAAGTTCCTCCAGATATTCAGCTCCAAGGTCTTCCAATACAAGCTTCTTCATATTCGCTTTCCTCTCCAACTGATAATTTTTATTACCATTATTTACCAATATCTTCCGAGCACTCTTTTCTCTCTTTCTTCTCAAGTAATGCCTCTCCTTCAAGGCCTCCGCCGGAGACCGCCCAAAGTTGCAGTCATAAAACTGCATCTCTTGGAGTGACTGCCTCACCCTTTCAATGGGGAAGTTGAGGACGGCCGCCGGACCCCGCATCGAGAATGCCGCTTGGTCGTAGGCCAGCGCCGCCGCCTCGTCGCTCTCGAACGTCCCGAGCCAAACACGGTGGCTGTTCTTCGTCGAATCCCTAATCTCCGCCGCGTATTTTCCCCAAGGCCGCCTGCGGACTCCTATGTAAGATCTTCCCTTGTCGTATAGCTGCTTTGATGTTTTTCCTTCGTAATTTGATTTAGTAGTACTACTCATAATGATCTCCTGATCATGTACTTTATTCACGAGTTGCGGGCGAGATTTCTCTTCTTCATGATGGGGTTTTGGATTGTGATAATCAGGAGGAGATTCCTTTTGTCGAAAGCACTGATCATCAACGATGAGGTCAGACGAATTAGGTGAATATTCTAACTGGTCATAATAGCTGGGAAAGCACAATTCATCGTACGGCCAAGAGAAAAATGATGATGATGATGAACCGATATTATTCGGTGATAGACCATCTGATTCAGGCAAGAAATCAATATTTTGGTCAAGGAAGAGAGAATCCATGAGGGGATCTTGTGGGACTGATCAGGGCTTTTTTACTGTTTGATATAAAACCGGAGATCTAGCTGGTGTTATTTTATGTTTTCTAGGACATATTTATCAAAGTAGCAAAAAAGGAGAAGAAAAAGAAAAAAAAAGTTCGATAGGAGATATGTTTGACTTTGCTGTGTTTTGACAAAAAGTTGGATATACCTTATATATATATATATATATATATGTTCATATGCTCATACCACATGGATTTGATAGAGCAAAAGTTAAATAATTTTGATTACAATAAAAAGAGGGGATTAGCAACTAATTAATTATATAAAGAGTACGAAAGATAACTATATTAGCAAGGAAATGTAGTACATCACATGTGTTTCCACTTGCCAGACTATATACTCAATGCCTATCTCCTCTAATAATATGGCATATAGCAACAAGGGATACTAGGGCAGTCCCCCCTCCCATGGTCTTTTGTTTTCTTTCCAGGTTTTTCCTTTTTCTTAATTTGTACCAAAAATATATTTAAAAAAAAAAGAACCTGATTCTTCGTTGAGACTCGATCCATTATATAAAAAAGTCATGAACGCATATTCATATTATATATGCACATGGCCGTCATTTTATCAGCCAAGAATCCACAACAGAAACACAAGTAGCACAGAGAGAGAGAGAGAGAGAGAGAGAGAGAGAGAACGCTAAGTTTCGTTAATCCCTCATTGTCTGTGTTTTTTTTTTTTTTTTTTTTCAATCTAATAACATTGGCATGTTTACTTACCAAGATTAAAGAATGAGAATCAATCTCATGTTTACTTGTTATTTTTTATCCTGAAATAAGAGTGAGATTGATGGGTCCCACTCAAATTTAAGATTGAAGAATGAGATTGGTATTCTCATACTCCCTTGAGATTGAGACTCTCATTCCTAATATTAATATCAATTTACTATTATATCCTTATTTTACTTATAAATACACAATTAAAAATAAAATTCAAAAAATAATAAATGCAACATATATTTATTATTTTATTTATCTAATATTATAATATTAACATAATTATTATTAACTTCAATATAATAAATATGTACTTTATTTTTTAATAAATTAATAATATATTTTATTTTTTAACACTATTTTTTATTTTTATTTATTTTATTTAAAATTTTTTAAAATTTATTTTTATATTTTAAATAGTTGTACAATTTATATTTATTATTTTAGTACCCAATTATTACATTAAATATTTTAATTATGATTAATTTTAATATAATAAGTACACAATATATTTTTTAAATTGAAAATATCAAATTGATTTAAAAGGTATATTAATATTTTTACATTTTTTTATTCTGATTCTGGGTGTAAGTAAACGTATGAATGAAATTTGGAATGACTCTGATTCTGAATCCTATCACTAAGTAAACAACTTATTCTGATTTTGATTCCTCACTCCGAATCTTACCCACTCTAAATTCTGTCCACTTTAATTCATGTTTATTTTAATTACGCGTAAGTAAACATGCCACTCATGTATGCATATGTATGTGTGTGAGGGTGGTGTGATAAATAAGCAAGTAAACATGAATAATCAAAATAGAATGTTAACAACACGACGTTCAAGTTGAACTTAGAGTTGGGTGCGAAAGTGTGTACCGCTGCCACTTGCAACCTAGCTGTAATGATGAAGTCATTATATCGAATATATTAGTGTGTATATATCTATATATACACACAATATAGTACCATATTTCTAGGCTTGTAGCCAATTATGATTTACTGTAGCATGATGTTCCCTCTAAGGATCAGATAACTATGGTGTATATTGGCCATCACAAAAGATAAGTGTGGTGTATTTCCTTAATTTTAAAAGAAAAAGATAATATGGAAAAGGGATGAACTCCTTTTATTCAAGTGGGGACTGGGTGATCACTGATCACTTCGTTCTGCCAGACAAATTTAAACTACAGAAAGCGGATATATATACTTTAGAACGGATTGTTCTTTTAGAATAAAATTTTTAAAAAAATTTTAACTCAAATTATAATTTCATTTAAGTTTATGTTCGTTTATAAAATTTAAATTTAAATTTGAGTTTGAACTTAAATTTATGGTTAAAATCTGAGTTCAAGTTTTTCGTTCAACTCAAATTTTTAAAGGAAAATAGTAGAAAATAAGCCAATATAAAAAGTTTAAGAAAGTATATAGGCCAATTTTTAGTTATAGAAATTAATAGGCCATAACATGTCAAGTTATGATTCATAACCAGATAAGTTATGGACAAACTTGTCAAGTTATGGTTCATAGTCAGACAAGTTATGAACAATTATGGGCAATAACTTGTCAAGTTATGGTTCATAACCAGACAAGTTATGGACGAAAACAGTAATTTGGCCTATTTATTAACTTATGTAAACTATTGGCCTATTAATTTTAATTCATCTCAAGTCTTGGCCTATTTCCCTCTTTCTCCCATTTTTAAATTCAAACTCAAGTTAATGAATAATATTTTTTCTATTATTAAAAACGTCATAATTTTTTCGTTTTAATTCCGATTGAAATTATTATTTATATGCGTTTACAACGAAAAGAAGAATAAAACCCTATCTATATACCCTATTAAAATTTTTCATCACCATTGATTTTTTATTAAAATACTATCTAAATACAAATTTAAATTTTGACCCACTTAAACACAAATTAAAATATATTCTCAATTCAAATTATAATTCAAATGTGCACATTCAAACACAGACTCAAGTAACAACTTCAACTTAAATTATAACTCAAATTTAACTCAATATTTACACTCATGTTACCATCTCAAAAATACAACTGATCAAGCCCTATATATTAACTTCACCGTATGTAGATATATAGTTTGTTCTCTCGGCTAACAAGTAAGATGCACATTCGTACCACAAAATTTAGGAGCATGGTTTTTTCTTTCACAAAAGAGAAAAAAAAAGGAAAATTTTTTTATATGATCATATGCACATATGTATGTGTAAACAAGCATATAGATACAGATTCAGTGACAATTTGGTCAGATATCATTATGAAAGATATATAGACTTGATTCGTTTACTAATTTCATATTGATGTCTCCTTTTCAATTGATATTCCAAAGACAATTTCTACAGTAGTTTTTCTATGTCTTATTTTAGACAGCAATTATAAAGCCATGGGGCCAGATCACATTATTAATACTATTATTTTTCATTTCCTGTCCTTTTCAACCTTACAACCTAAGGAGCTAAACAAATCAAAAGCATTAATTAACTAATTGACAGGATTGCAATTAGATAATTACCCCACTACCATGACACCGTCAAATCTTTACAAAGATCTTCTCTCATTGGTCTTATCGACAGGGCTAATCAGAAACTCCAAAATTACCACCCCATAAAGAAAACAAAACAAAACAAAACAAAAAGAAGAAAAAAAAAAGTTAAAAATGAAAAAATTGGATAAGGGTGAAAGTTGAAGCTAAATTAACATCATGAACGAGATGGAGATGAAATTGTTACAATCACAATGATTGACTACTACTTGTACAAGTCTCGGACGATGAACTCAACATCAAAAGCTCTTCCAAATACTCAGCCCCTAAGTCCTCCAAAACCACCACATGATTTTTGGCCTCCGAATTAACCTCTTTACTTTCTTTACTCTTCTTCGCTATCCCGGCGGCCCGCCTCCGTCGCATGGAATGCTTCCTCTTGAGCGCCACCACCGGCGAGGCGTCAAGTTGATCGTGATGGTCCAAACGACACAACTTCATCTCTTGAAGCGACTGCCGTACAACCTCAATGGGGAAATTAAGCACCGCTAATGAACCCCTCAAGGCAAATGCGGCTTGGTCGTATGCCAGCGCCGCCGCCTCCGCGCTGTCAAAGGTTCCGAGCCAAACCCGAATGCCGTTCCTCGTCGAGTCCCTTATCTCGGCGGCAAACTTTCCCCATGGCCTTCTTCTGACCCCTCTGAAGGACTTCTCTTTAGCCACTACCACTTTTGGATTGGAAGTGACCTCCTCCACCTTAACGACGACGTATTGTTGGCTAACTAGTAGCTCCGGTTTTGCCTCAATATGATCATAATTATGATCAAATATAGGATTGAAAAAGGGAAGAGAATTAATAATTTTGTTGGTGTTTTGATCATCACAGAAAATCTCATCCCATGAGAGAGAGTCTAGAGAATTGTTCATGTTGCCAAAGGAAGATTCGGGAGAAATAGATGATTCCATTAATTCTAAGAGTGAGAACATTTTTGTAGAACTATATTGAGTTAATACTTGGTTTTCAGTACTGGCAAGTAACTTTGAGATTGGTATACCGAATTTTAACTCTTAATCCCTTTATATACCCGGAGAAAAAATAATGAGGGGTTTGAAAGTTTGAATGGAAGGATTAGAATAGGAATTGATAAAAGGAAAAAAATAAAAAAAAAATGATGAGCGAAAAGCGATTGAAAGGTGAGATTATTGGCAAAGGAGGATGTTCATCGACATTTTAACTTTTTGCAATGGTTCAATTCAAGACCATGTCTTACTTGGAGAGTTTGGGCACGTGCGTCAAAGTGACGTACGGCGGCGGGACTGGACCAAAATTGCGCGTGTCATAATTATGAGGTCATAATTCGATTATGTTGTCTTTATTTTTTCATGGCTCATTTCACCACTATCTTCTTGATATTATTGGTGATCAATATATGTGTATACAAATATATATTGAAATAATACTTTTCAATTGAAAAAATATATATATATACACATATATATGATCTAGATATATCCCATATATATAGCATGTGAATATAATTTTGACTAGCGTAAGCACAAGAAAATCTGTCGCCAAATGTATCCACTCCAAATGCCATTGCTAGAGCGTAACAAAATCTGTCCTAACGCTAACTTTTTAAGAAATTACATTTGTTACCCGCTAAATTACATATTCAACTGTATATATTATATCCATATAATTAGAGAAACACTATACGTCCCCGCGGAGCATCCCACCCTCTCAAAGGGGGTGGATTCCACCTTATTCCTTGATCGGGTCGGGTTGTAACCCCACAGGGTTATAAACATTTAAAAAAAAAAAAAAGATAATTAACCCCTAACGTGTTAAGCTCTACAATAGAGTAAATATATTTTCCTAAAGAAAAAAGAAGTATTTTGATATACTTTTAATGTGTTCCTTCTAGAACAAATGTGTACTGGCTAGCTAGGCAGGGCTTGTTTTGCTAGCAGACAATTTTTCCACCATTAATGATCTATTAACGAAGGCGTTGATAAAATAATGCCATTACTCTTGTTATGCTTTCGATTGGTTTCTATTAATGTTTGAATTCAAAACCCATTAATAATTATCTTATCCAAAACTTTCGGGGTGACTTTCAACAATTTCCAAAACGAAGAGTCAGTCAGAATCGTATACCTCATGTAATATTAATGCAAACCAAAAACTCTTCCTTTATATTAAATGGTATTTAATTATCGCCTGCCTCCTTTGTATTCTAACTATAAGAAGTTTTAGGCATTAGTTCATGTTTATATATTTAAGTATCTATATCTTAAAATAGAAAATATGGTAGAGTGAAATAAGTTCTAATGCACCGGTTTTCAAAACTACTTCCAGAAAATAAGCTTGATTTCCGAGAACACCTAGAAAAATTCTGCATCTATTTTAGTTAACCGAAAACTAATAACAACAACAAGTCACCTTGTGTGCGTTTAGAATTCGTTCTAAAATGATTCTATTTTTTATATGAAAATGAAAATGAAAATGAAAACGTTTTCAATTTCAGATAGAAATCATTTTTAAAAATGCGTGTGGTAGTTTTATCAAGAGATTGTTTTCAGTATAAAAAACTCATTAATGTCTCTCTCTCTTTGTGCTCGAGAGAGGAGAAAACGAAAACAAAAAATGAAAAACGACTAAAAGTCGTTTTTCATTTCTCTCTCATTTTATACTAAACTAAAAAATCGTTTTCATTTCCGTTTTTTGTCTTTAATTATACCAAATGTCGTTTAGAATCGTTTTCATTTTTCTTTCTCGAAAAACATGAAAAACAAAAACAAGAACAATTCCAAACACGATACTTGTTTCTTAGTTTCTAGTGTTCTTTCATGCAGTGGGGGAACCGTGATGTTTTGTTAGTGTGACACAAATTTTTTTTAATGGTGAAATTTTGTAATTTTATAAAGGATTATTATTAGTATTGATGCCCCCTGAACTTTAAAGTCATTCTTAGTTTGCCCTCTCAACTTTAAAAACCATCATTTTACCTCTTAAATTTTGAATTGTTTCCGCTTAACTTCTTCTATTGCAATTTCTGTGAAAAACATATAAAAAAAAAGAGAATAACGCATTCACGTAGTCTTTCTGTTTGGATTTCTATTAAAAAAAAGATAAAAATCACATGACCACACTTAACCCCTCTTTTTTCGTCTGATCTTAACATAAATTACAACAAAAGAGGTTAAGTGGGAACAATTCAAAGTTCAGGGCGACAAAGTGAGAGTTTTTAAAGTTCATGGTGCAAACTGAAAATGACCCCAAAGTTTAGGGGGCACCAGTGAGAATAATCCCTTTAAAAATTGAGTGAGGGACATGTCCCAAACAACTATTAGTGGCTCCGTCAATACTATCACATATAGAGGTGAATAAAATCCTAAATATTGGGGAGAATATAGTAAATAGTAGATTTTTGAAATTAAATTAAGTAAATAGCTTATTTCAAAACTATTTGAAGTAAATACCAGTTTACCGTGTAAATATTTTATTTACGACTAGGAAAAGTTTTTTCTTGCCTGTAAATTTTCTTTTTATGATCTAGTAATTAAAAAATCTTTTTCACGTAAATAAAACTCTTTTACCATATAAATTATTTTTTATTAGCCGTAAATGAAATATTTACATGGTAGATTACTTTAAATAATTTTAAAATATGTTGTTTACTTAATTTAGTTTTAAAAATCTTTTTATTTACTACAATTTCCAAATATTTACTTAAATTTGAAACTCAATGAGGTGTGACAAATCTTGACGTTGGACCCTTCAGAATAATGTTAAATTGACCTAAATTAAGGTCTTTCTTGGTTTAAGAAGTACCCATCAGAATTTTTTGCTCATTAGAAAATGTTTTAACCGTCAACAACTTAGAAAATAAGCGGGTGGTCAATTGTCAATACGTCCAAAACCCATATATAAAATGGAAATTAGAAACGGGTTAAATCACCAACATCGAATAAAAAGTATGCCTTGGCGATTAGGACACGCTTGATCGAGAGTTAAGACTTTAGCGTCGGCGGTAACATCCTCAAGGGCGCAAAATAGTGAAAAGAACCAAAATAATAAACAAATTAATTAGTAACTGAACAAGTTTCATCACAAGTTGCATATAATTGCATATTAAAGTAAATGTATTGGCGATGACGTTGACGTTACATGTCTATCAAAATACCCCTTATTCAAATAATTCGCTTACTTTTTTTTTTTTGTGTGTGTGCATATTTTTCAAGTTTTTATGGGTATAATTAATACTCGAATATTATATTATTCTTCATCTAATTCCTATTTAAGTTTTTTATTTTATTTTATTTTGTTTTATTTTTTTGCCTTAGACAGATTCTTCGAGGAACTATACTTGGGTTATGTAGTAAGAGGGGGAAAAAACCAGAAGAAGAAGAAGAAGATATAGATGTAATCTTGGTGAGGAAAATTATAAAGAGGAAAAAAGTTCTTATTATGTTTAGTATGAAGTCTGTTCCCTAATATCTCCATAATTAAGAAATTTAGGACCTGTTTGTTTTATATATTCAAACTCAAATCATTGATTTTACTATAATTTTTTTTCTCTTATAAAAAATTTAAATTTCAAACGTCGGAATCAAGAATCATGATTTAGTATATATTCTAAACATACCCTTAAATGAGGTTCTTTAAAAGATTTGAAATCGCTCAACTGAATTGATTTCCTCCTCTATTTTCTCCTACAACAACCATGAATTACAAAATCCTTTTGTCTAATCCCTTCTCTAGTCTCGCTCATTTCACTTTTTCTTTTGCCAAAAATTTTTCGATTTCATAGTATTTTTTTTTTCTCTAATGAATTTTCAAATTGATTATATGATCAGTAAGCAACCAACGGTATATATATAATTTTTTTTGTCAATGATCTATGACGTCCGAAAAGAGAGACAATATATCATTATTGGTTAACTAAATAGGATCCAATCATAGCGAAAATACGATCCACGACAACAAAATTGTATTTATAACGCAAAAGCAACTTTTTATAAGATGGAAAACAAAGTAATACTTAATTAGATTCTAAATCAACTTGTATATAAAATAATGCTACCGATATGTAAATTGATGTAATGAAATCCCCCCAACTATAGGCCTCGCTATCTACTCTAAATATCCTACGACATAAGACAAAACATTATATAAATATGTGTGTATTAAAAAAAGGCCGCCCATTATTTCAAAAACTCGAAATTCCTTATGAAAATTGAGAAAATTACGGTTCATACTTATTTTTTCAGTTGGAAGGTCTAATCCAGCTTTAGTGACGAAGCCAACTTGCAAATTTTTTTTTTTTTTTTTAATACATTGAATCGTGAGTGGAATAATCACTGCGATTGGGCCATAGGAATAATATTTTGATGACTTCGATCTAGCAAGTCTAAGGCTGAGTGCATGAACCCATATGATATACCCAAATTGAACATTTGCAAAGGCTTTCATATTTTTGAAACTAGATAATTAAGTAAGATTTGTCACTCGTGACCCCAATTCCATTATTAATAATTATATATCATGTCAATTTTTTTTTCTGAAAATATACACACATATATATTATCATGTCAAGTAATTGGTTGTGTTTAACATAAATATGTATGATGCCTGCGTCAAATTAACACATTGTCTTATCTAGCGATTAGTTAAGATTTAGTTCTTTTAAGTTGGGAATATAATAGTTGAGTTTAGACACACGAAATTGATTGTTAATAAGGACTATACAAAGCTCATCATCAAATCTTTCAATTTTAACCCGAAAAAGATAAATTTGTTTATTAGGACCGTCAAGTGCATGCATCTCTTTTTAACTTTTATAACCAGCAAGTTTAATATTCTTTTCATACGTATAAATTTTTATTTAGTTAAATAGAATAGGAGCTACATCACATTGCTTCAAAATACGTAATAGGTTTTTTTTTATATTAATTTTCTTTCTTTTTAAAAAAAAAAAAAAAAATTCAATCCTCAAACAGTCAAACTAATAGACACTCTAAATTGATAGT